TAGTTATAAGAATTGTGTGATTGGTTTTTAGGTATTTTGTGATTGATTTTTAAGCAATGCTTAAGTCACACAATGCCTTACTAACTAGTCATACAATAGCTTACTAACAAGTCACGCAATGCTTACCAACTAGTCACGCAATGCTTACCAACTAGTCACGCAATACCTAAAAATAAATCATGCAAAGCCCAAAGTTAGTCACACAATGTACAAAGTAAGTCACACAGTATCCAAAATCATCAAAATTACTAAATTTCATTTAACAAGGTCAACACTTCAAATGTTATACCATATTTTATTTTACAATATAATTAATGAATATACATACTTGATAAAGAATGCTCAAAATGTTTAAAAATTTTTGTTCATATATCAAAAATCATTCCAAAGTGCTTAAAAATACTTAAAACGCTCAAAGGTTTTTTTTCGTATATAAAAAACTACTCCAAAATGCTTAAAATGTTTTAATATTTTTTTTCGGTAAAGAATACTCTAGAGATGAATAATCTGACGAGAAAAGTCAAAGAATATGAGTTGATTTGAAGTGTAGATCTAAACATACTTGATCTGTTAATAGATTTCGGATTAAGGCGCGAAGCCAAATAAATAGGTCGATTTCATTAAAGGTAATTTTGTTCAAATTTTAATTTTTTTTACTACAAATAGTTAAAATTATAAAAAAATTTATTATTAAAAATACTTTATGTATGGAGCCTATTTAAAAAAAAACTCTTATATTATTATTAGTTTTTGAATCATTTAACTTTAAAGGTAACAAAGGCACAATCATTTTTCTTTGTATTGTTTAATCCATGTTATTTGTAAAACAGTCAACTTTGTATGTACGAGATCTTAAAATGTGAACCAAGTTGGTAAAAATTTTATATTTAAGTGTTCGTAGAAGGTCCCAATAGCTTAGTTGGCTAAGTTTTTGGTGGTTTCATCACGGACCTGCTGTTGATTTCTGCCTCCAGAGAAGAGGGGAGGTCTACGTTTGATCTATAGCTCAACCTTTGGGCCAAAAAGGATGAAAAGAGTTTTTACAGTGAGAGGCTCACCTTTTGCTGGTTAACCTTATCTTGAAGGTTTCAAAGATTCTGCGCAGACACGGTTATATTTAAGTTTTTGAGGGACATCATCCACAGTCATTTCTGTTTATTAAAAAAACAAAAAATCGTAAAAGTTATTTTCTCACTATGGATTTTTCCTTCTTTGTTGTATAATCTCTTCCTTTTTTGGTTGGGTAACTCACTAATGATGTCAAAATTGAACAGGAGAAATATGGCTCCACCTACAGGAATAGGACTTGCTGGTTTGGCTGTTATGGGCCAAAATCTTGCGCTTCACGTTGCCGTGAAAGGTTTCCGCAGTTCCGTTTAACCGAACTACTTCTACAGTTGATGAGACTGTTGAAAGAGCTAAACAGGAAGGACATCTGCCTGTATTTGGTTTCCATGATCCTGAATCTTTCGTTCAGTCGGTCCAGAAACCTCGAGTGATAATCATGCTTGTTAAGGCAGGGCCTCCTGTTGATCCAACCATTAAGACTCTCTCTAAGTACATGGAGAATGGTGATTGTATCGTAGACGGTGGCAACGAGTGGTATGGAAACACTGAGAGGCAAGAGAAAGCTATGGCTGAACTGGGTTTGTTAAACCTTGGAATGGGAGTTTCGCGTGGCGAAGAAGGTGCACGAAATGGTCCCTCTTTGATGCCTGGAGGATCATTTGAAGCTTACTAACACATTGAAGACATTCTTCTTAAGGTTGCAGCTCAAGTACCAGATAGTGGCTCCCGTGTGACTTACATTGGTGGAGGAGGATCTGGTAATTTTGTTAAGACGGTTCATAATGGAATTGAACATGGTGATATGCAGCTGACTGCAGAAGCTTATGATGTGTTCAAATCTGTCGGAAATTTATCGAATGAACAGCTACAAAGTGTTTTCTCACAATGGAACAAGGGGGAGCTTTCGAGCTTCTTGATTGAAACCACTGCTGATATATTTGGAATTAAGGATGACGCGGGTGATGGTTATTTAGTTGATAATGTTTTGGACAAAACTGGCATGAAGGGCACTGGTAAATGGACTGTACAGCAAGCAGCTGATTTGTCTGTTGCAGCTCCCACAATTGCAGCTTCTTCAGATTCAAGGTTCCTTAGTGGGTTGAAGGAGGAAAGAGTTGAAGCTGCTAAAGTCTTCAAATCAGGAGGATTTGGTGACGTCTTGACTGAGGAAAGTGTGGACAAGGCAAAATTAATTGATGATGTAAGGCAAGCTCTCTATGCATCCAAGATTTGCAGTTATGCTCAGGGCGTGAATCTCATTCGCGCAAAAAGCATTGAGAAGGGTTGGGACTTGAAATTGGGGGAACTGGCTAGGATATGGAAGGGAGGTTGCATCATCCGAGCTATTTTTCTGGACAGAATCAAGAAGGCTTATGATAGAAATCCTGACCTTGCAAACCTTCTTGTTGATCCAGAGTTTGCAAAGGAAATCATTGACAGGCAATCTGCTTGGAGACGAGTTGTATGCCTTGCTATCAACTCAGGTATTAGCACTACCGGCATGCCATCCAGTCTTGCTTATTTTGACACCTATAAGAGGGAACGAGTACCAGCTAATTTGGTTCAAGCTCAACGTGATTATTTTGGTGCCCATACTTACGAAAGGATTGATATGGAGGGTTCTTTCCACACTGCATGATTCAAGATCGCCAAACAGCTAAAAAATTAAACCTATTGCAGAGGTACTCTTCAGAACTCCCAATAAGTGTAATAACATCTGCTCTGGACTATATGCTAGACAGAGCTACACCATGATTATTTCTTTGAAATTTGTCTCAAACCTCATCTCTCAAATTCAGCTGCGAATTTAGACTGTCTTTCTGTGATAGATGTGCTGCTGCTTTCAGTTGATCTTTAGATGTGAGTATTAATCAAAGTCTGTGGCCCCATTTTTGGCTTAAATGTGATATTTTACCCAGCGTAGATCACCGTCGGTAATCAAATATAATCTTAAACTTAAAATCAAAAGTTTCAGCATTTGAAACAGTCAAACCGTTCCACACTAAATTAATCGCACGGTGCAACGGGCATTTTGTCTCCTCTAATCTAGTATACCAGTTTACTTTACTTGCCAGATGTATTCTTAATTTTCTATGCCAAGTAATGAGCTTTCATTGTCAAATACAGTGAAAGACAGTGAAAGGGAAAGAGGGAGGAAGGTAAGGGAGTCGAAGCAAAGTAGTATTTCTTGCCTTCGAAATATTGATGGATCCATACGTAAAGAGGAAAACATTTTTTCCTGCTTAAATTGATTATTTTATTTATAATTATATCCTTACTTTATTTTGTTAGTTTCCTTCTTTCCTACCAAATACAAAGTAAGAAAATCAATTTTTTCTCTCTTTCACCTCTTTCCATTTCCTCTATTTTCCTTCCTTTTTATCAAATATAGTCTTGATCTTGAAAAGAGAGGGATTAGAAACTAGCGAGTCTTTGTTTGGTGCACATATTTTACTATGATGTACTTGTTTAACACTAATCATATTCTATTTCATAGGTGGTATGTTTCTATTCTGTCAAGTGTCTCTCTTTAACTATAAATAAAGAAATATATTAGCATGGGATTGTTGAGTTCTCCTGTTCTGTTAAATAGATGAGTGGCAAGTGTGTAAACTGTTTGTACAGTTTCTGTATTCCAAGCAATTTATAGAATAATCCATTGAGTATATAATACACTAAACCGTTGCAGCTAGTATCATTCTTTAATTTGTTTGTCTAGAACTCTAGATATACGTACAGATAATAAGGTCATTGGGATGAACATAAAAATTACAATTTTTTGGGTTCAATAATTGTGGCGGCTCATATGACAATCAATATAGAATAGAAGTTTATCTCTTCTTTTTTTTTATAAAGAAGATGAATATAAAATGCGCATTCTCTGTGTTTACAGGTTCTTTTATACTAGTTTATTAGCCTCCTAGGCCTGCAGTTGGCATAGAGGTTTTATAATTTTTGCAAAAGCAGATAAGCTTATAATACAAACATAAGAGACAATTCAAATATATAACATTTCAGATGGTCGTTTTGTTTTGCATTCCTGTTATAGCTCCTTTTGACCTTTGCTGCCGACAGATAAAATGAATGTATAATTCCAAGATCAGCATCTTCAACGAAATACAAATCTCTTGCCATGTGTGCCATTTTGCTTTTCATTGTTGTCTTCCATTGTGCTTGCTCATTCATCTTGTATTTGTTTTATTAAAGCAGAATATGGCCTTTCTGAGAATGGCTTTCAATCAGCAACTGTGGAACATGTTTTATATTTGCTATTCCTTTCTTCTTTTTTGACTTTGTTGCCTGGCTGTTGCACTGGCCTTTATTCTTATAGGGTCAGTTACATGAATGGTCAATGGTCTGTCATTAAATATGTATTCTTTGCTCCTGATAGTTGTCATTTGTCTCTCTGGATAGATCTTCTTACCAGCACGGCATACTCTTTCTGTTCATGGCTTTGCACAGACAAACACATGAACAGACATTAACACACTATTGTTAATAAGTTTTTTCTCCCCTGGTAGAAGTTTTATTAGTATTTTTGCTGATGCACTTAAGTTTGCTGATTTGACCGCATGGCTGTGATCTAATAACTGAGGTCAGAATTTACCAATTCCATTCATACATGAACTCTTCGAAGGTGACAGTTTTACAATCTTGTGTGTGCATTGATTTCAAAGATATTGAATTTATGATTGAAATTATACAGACATTGTATTGCACCTTTAACAATTTTGTGATCTTGTTTCTGCATATGATTCAGAGATATAACATTTGTGGTTGGAATCATAAAGAAATTACAATAACATGATGGCATCTGAGTACTGAAAGAAAGAAGCAACAAAGTGTGTGATCATATATTCTTGGAAAGAGAATACATTAGCTTGTCTCTAAGCTCAATTCAATTCTACCATATTTTCAGGTTCTCAACCTGACTACTTGCGGTACCTTTCTTGACCACCGAGTTTCCGTTTGGATTTGCCACTGTTCTCGACACTCTTTTTCGCTTCTTTCTTTCCCTCCTTGCGTGAAGAATGCTTGCTAGCGTAATCACCTTTATCATGATTAAGATGAGCACTGCTATGACTACCTTGACCATCCTTGTGTTTATACTGATGATGACTTGGGGCAGAAGAGGCATCAGATACCATTGAATCATCACTGTTTCCCTCACCATCATCATCTTTGATGCTGTACTTGTTATAATTGTCTTCACTGCCTTCAAAATCATCTTGCATAGGCGAAGCTAAGTACCTTGTCCACCCTGATTCACTGCTACTGCATCCTTCTTTGCTCAGAAAGTGTTTGAAGGGGTCCATTAATAGAGGATAAAGGCGGCTACAAAAAAGAGAAAATCAGATAGAGGTTATTGATGAAAAGGAAGGATGTTATTGAGGAATGATGAAGTTGGAGAGATGACTTAGGCAAGAAAGAGCTATATAGTCTTTGGTGAAGTATGAAGAAACAAAGAGTTATGCACTAAGAACAAAGAACCATGATCTTTATTCTGCGAGAGGAAGAGCGAATTCAAACCTAATAAAACTCTTGTTAAGCACAAGCTTTAACTTGTACTTATATGTTGGTTGGTGAAACTAGATTACACTATATAGCCTCTTTGAATTTTTGTCGCTTACGACTAGAGAATTCAACTTCAAGGTGTCGGGTTCCACTCTTGAGATAGGCCTGTTGGGATTATGGGATGAGAAGGGGTTATCTCTCCTTATGTTGTCCAAGATCACATGTACTGGGAAAAAAAACGAAAAGAAAACTTCGAATTTTGGTAAAAGATAAGCAGAAAATTGGAAAAAAAAAAAATGAAATGAAGTAATCTGTAAACTTCTGTCTTTGTCTAGACTCGATCTCCTGTCATAATCATCCTGGCCAGAACATTAACTTTTTGGTGTAGTGTACAGATAAAACCATTTCAGTATTTCAGAAATAGGAGAGAATATATCTTTACACTCAGACTCCTCTGTCCTGTCACAATGGTGCAGATGAACCCATTCCTCAAACCGGATGAGATATGAAACCCATGTTCTCAAGCATGTTAGGCCACAGCCTCCCCACTTCCATCCATGTTTCTTTTGCGTCAGCCTTCTATTCTTTGTCTTCTCGTCTTCATAAGTCAGCTTTCCGGGATCAAACGTGCATAGTTTCTATGTCAGGATCTTTATGCTTTTGTTCTGTCTTTGTTTGCTTGTCTCCTAAGAAAGCAGACCTCTGTCTTGTTGCTATTGAAATAAAATATGGCATGGTTGGTTAATATTTCATTTTTGGTGGATTGTTAGCCAATCTGGATTAGGTTTTGTTGCAATGACAACTAAAAAGGCTCAAGAATTTCTTTTTTTGTTCCTTTTTATACTCTAAAATTAAATAAATAGATAGAAAAGAGTCTATAAGGTAGCCTACCACTTGATTTAGAAAATGTAAAATTACAATTAATTCTTATAAATCCTCATTAATTTTAATTAATTTAGATTTCTAAATGAATTAATTAAAAAGAAAAACGTTCTCGTCATAACTTCTTCATATTTTCATTTCGTGATTTCATAAATAAAGATAAATTTAAATTTTAGACAAGATAAGTGTAAACTTAACTTTTCCTATTTTCATAACGAAAATCTAGTCAATTTTATATTTTAAATAATTTAGATATTGTTGACTTATTGTCCTGTAATTATTTGTCTAAAGGACCATTAATTTTTTTTTTTTCATATTCTTCATCTTCCAAATGTTTCATTATACTGCAAATTGAGCGCTTTTTGACTAAGGCCAACATACAAAATGTTCACAAGAAAATAGGTCAATCAAATCTTCACAGTCCAATGCCAAGATTTGGCTTGGATTTGCTCCCTATGATTAGGATTTCCCTATCAACATGTTTGGTTGGGGAGAGCAGAATAGTCATTCTCTTTTATTCTTAATTTTTTTTTTTAACATTTTATTTAGTTGGAAGGATGCTGATCCCGGAAGATGAATGAATAGTCAATACCAAGCCCTCCAAGAGGCAAGAAGTAGAGCAAAAACATTAATGAACAAAAATGTCCTTCATTAATTTAAAGAATTCCATACTATATAAAATTCATTTCATTTTTTACAATTTTTTTCTCTCTCTACTCAACTACCTCTCTCCTTCTCTTACTAAATTAAAATAAATTAAAAATAAAAAAATAAAAATAAATTTTAAAAAAATGTTTAAGGTTTAATTATACATTATAAAAGTTAATACTTTAAACTTAAGAATTAAATTAAAATTTTAATTATAAATTTTTTATATTTTAATATTTTAAAAATAAATAATAAAATAATAAAATGAATGTTTTAATTATAAAGATTTTAATTTAAAAATTAAATATTATAATAAATGGTATTTTTATCATTTATCACTTATTCTTTAACTATTCCTAAAACTATTCCTGTCAACTAAATATTACAATAATTTATAATAGTAATTCTTATCTTATTCCATTCTTATAAACCAAATTATATAATAGGTTCTATATCTATGGAATGATTATTCCATTCTATTTTTTTCTGCAAACCAAACACACTCTATAAGTTTATGATTAATTTAGTTGGTCCGCTTTATCGCGATATCAAATAATTATGTTACTTCGATATTGAAAGTTTAGTGCATGTATTTTGACTGGCCTTACTGGTGTGATTCACGTGAAAATCAATTGTGAGGTGACCACGGCTATATTCTTATACAATAATGATTTGCATGAATTTTAACTTTCTCCACGTTTTACATGTGGATTAGCTGGCTTTTAAATTAATCTATGTCAGTTGTTTGCCATTATTTCTTAGTATCACAAAGCAATTAGGTTCACACTTTAAGCTTATATTAATACAAGTTGATCCATCTAGAAGTCCAAGACATGGTGTTTGGTTAGGATTCAGGATCTGAAACTCAATTTTAAGTTAGAAGCTCTAAACTTAATTGCCACCCTTTTCACCTTTGCTTTGGGATTAGGAAAATGGAAAAGAAACAGGGAGAAAACAATGGTTGTTGAGAAAAGTTAAAATACTTTATCAATTTTAATTTTTAATTATAATTATACACGAGTCTATTAATTTATAACATAGACTTTTCATCTCAAATAATCAAACGATGTTAATGTTTAAAATAAAATATCTAAAATTTTCTCTTCTTTTTACTCCTTTTAGATCGATTGGTAATGTTCACTACCACGACTAACCACCCTGTGGCCAGACCTAAACTCAGGGAGTACCCACCAAGATCAGTGATGCCCAAGGAACATTGGATCTGTGCTCTTTGGGGAGCACTTGGGGAGCACCCGTCTGTGCTCCTTGGGGAACGCGCTATTGGTGCTCCCCAGGGAGCACTTGGGGAGGTTTTTTTTTTAAAAAAAAGAAAAAAATTAAAAATTAAAAGTTAAAATTTATATAGTATGTTAATTTTTAAAATTATTTTTTTAATATTGTTACATCATTAAACTAATGAAAGTATTAACGATGGATTAAAGATTGGACTTATGTGTTTAACGAAAAATATTTTTTTGAAGCAGATTGTCTATTTTAAAAACTAATAAATGTGTATAAAATTATGAATAAAAGTAAAAAAGTTAAGGTATTTTATCTTATTGAAAATTTGATATGAGATGGTTGATTATAAATGGTATAATCCATGAAACAATTTTAATTAAAAGTAATGTTTACTTTCCAGCTGGGATGTGATGCTTAATACATTGTCTTAGCTGTGTTGAGATCTCCTAAATATGGAAATAAATTATAAATTTTATCACCTAATGATATTATGTTATCTATTTCTAGTATCTAATGGGAGCCTTTGGCTTGTCCAATTGATCTCTTTTGCAACTTTGGATTTTTGCCATCTTTTCTCTATTCTCCTTCGAATGAGGTGTTTAGGAAAAATTTCCATGCTCTAAAGTCTAAATAAGTAACTACATATGTTCAAGAAAGAAGGGAAAACAATTTATCCTTGTTTCACGTTGTTAAACATGTTGAAGAAAAGCCAAAGATGGGGTTGTTGGTTTAAGGTGTCAGTTCAGATTTTGGTCGGAAAGGGCATGAGTTCAAATCCCTTTCTTGACATGTATTTCAATATTTTTAAAACCTTACTAGAAAAGTGCTATTAAAAACAAAAAAAAAAACCTTAATAGAAAAACAAAATAGCATACCATTCAATTCAACTATTATTAGATTGGATCTCACTCAAAGCCCAAAACCTAATATTCCAATCCAACAAGTTGAGCATATGTGAGTTCATAAAATCATAAATTAAGTTACAATGTGTAGAAGTAGGAGCCTCTCATAATATGCAAGAGACCATTTTGGGCCAGTCAATGGATTGTATTCACTTTTGCTGTTTTGCCCCTTAAGGTTGAGGAGATGTTTTTACTTAATCACATCCACTTTGAGCCCCAAATTGAAAGATCAAATCTTGGAGCCTTTACGGGCAAGTGGATTGCAAGGTGCAAGCAGGATCTGCAATTTGAAGTTTGGAATATATTTAGATAGGGATATCTTTAGAATGATTACCAGTGTTCCGCGTGGGGTCATTTCTTTTACAAGAATTTTTTATAGAAACGTAGAATTAAGAATAGCTAAGGGTTCGTTTGGTAATAAAAAATAACTTATTAAAATAAAACTTTTTCTATATAAAATGTTTTATACAAAAATTTAATATTTTTTTTTGTTTGGATAAATTGTCAATTGTTTGGATTATTTTATGAAAAACATTTTTCATCATAGTGTAGTTATTTAGATGTTAAAATAATAAATAGGAGTTGATTACAAAACAATATTGATATTTGATTTTCACTAGTTTGGGATCAAAATTAAGAATGAAAATGAAAACGGACAAAATCAATAATGATATTTCCTAAAGCATTTAACCACATATCTGTAATGAAAACATACTCTAATTTTCAAAAAAAAAATGTTTCATCTTATTACTTTTTTTATCATAACTATAAAAATATAAATATTCATCAATTGTGTAAGATATCCAAAACCTATATTTATAAATACGTATTCATTAAATGATGATCATTGAAATTTTTTTTATTATAATTATTAGTAAGATTTAAACTTATTATAAATGTGTATTCATCAAATAATGATCATTGAAATATTTTTTATTATAATTATTAGTAAGATTTTTTTCATTTATAAATAAAAACTTTAATTGTATTTAATGGTTCCATTAATATAATATTTTTCTACTTTTAATAGTGTTGTATAATTTAAATATTAATATTTTAAATTAATTATTTTAAAGTTAAATATTAATATTTTTTTATATTTTAAGTTAAATATTAATATTCATCAAACTTATACTCATAAACTTAGTACAAAAGTATTTTTATTGTTCTCTGGAAAATGTCTTATGCCATTCAAGAGTGTAAGATATTTTCTATGGTTAACCTTATTGACTTGTAAAATGTTTTACATCTAGAATTAATTTTTCATTTGCCAAACAAACATAAGTCTTAAAAACGTTTTCCAAAAAATATTTTACTATAAAACAAACAGACCCTAAATACATTTTATATTTGCGGCATGCACAAAAAGAGTTTGACTTGGTCAACTTTATCATCGGTAAAAAATTCATACCCTT